TACATGTCCCTTGTCACCTTAGCCAGGCCAATGGTTCGCAATTCTGGGACTTCTACTGGAAATGTGAGGAAAGAGAATCCAGTTCCACTAATAAAATGGCAGCCTAGCATCCGTTCTTCTGCCGCAGAGGAAAGCCTGCTTAAGCACAATGCCGGCCCAGAACTAAGAAATGAAAACCAAAATTTCTGATGTCATTATTAAGTACCGGGACCCAGCAGTGCCACGTTGAATTGTTTTGTTTTTTTTTTCTTTGTTATAGGATTTTAGATGAGGCTTTTCCAACCCAGTTTCAACTGAGACCCCGAAGTCCTATTAATGTAACATGATTAAAGGAATCAAGAACCTCTATACCCTAAAAGAAGGTGCTACATCATTCATGAGAAGAAGAACAGGTTCTGCGAATAATAGTGTTCGTCAACCCCCAGACTTTGGAAAACAAGGCTTGAAAAACCAAGAGAGAGACTTTTGGTGTGCTGTGCATTTTCTCTCCCCGCCAACCCGTGAGGTGGCGGAGGGGGTGCCTGCACCTACCAGAGCCAAGCGGTGGAGGCTTTAAGGGACCACTCAGTGAGCTTGGTATGAGTCTCAGGGAGTTTGGGAGACATTAAGACTGGGGTCCCAATCCCACCTGGAGAAATAGAATGGTGAAAGTTTGTGGAAGGGCTGTTACTTGGTGTCAGAGGGAAAAGAGGCTGTACTTGGGGCAAGTGGTACATCCACCAAGGACAGAGCAGGGATGCCTGAGTCTTCCGGTAAAGCCGTGCGAGGGAATAAGTAGTGTGGTTCATTTTCTAGGAAATCTCACCCAAGAGGACGAGCTAGTGGGCAAAGTGGGGAGGGGGACCAACAGGGGGAGGGGTACCAGCAGAAGCCCAAGGGCTGAGTGTTGGGCTCCTTGGCCAGGTAGAGTAGTGTCAATTGTGTATCCACCACATCCCAGGGGAGGGCGTCACCTCCAGATTACGGCTGCAGCTTCGTCAAATGCTGTACCCTTTGTCCCTCTTCCTCTCTGCCTCCATCCTGAGCCTGAAGAGGGAGGGTCAAACCAGGCTTGTGTGTGAGCAAAGAGGAGAAATCAGTGGAAAAGCCAATATGCTTCAAATTCTGAAGCAGACACTTGCAAACATTAAGGAAAAGCATTCAATTGTACAGGTGTTTGGCATTTTGATTATTACCCTCGACTGAACTGGGCTTTCTTTTGCTTTTCTTTTTTATTATGGAAATTTCCAAGCATTTACCAATGTGAGAAAAATAGAATAACGAATGCTCGTGTACCCATTACCCGGCTTCTGCAACGGCCAGCTCATGGCCTAACATTTTCTATCTCTTTCCCTCCCCGTTTCTCCCCCTCCACTGGAATATAATGAAGCAAATCTCAAACGCTTCACTATTTTACCATAATTCAGTATGTTTCTGTACAAGATAAAGATTCTTTTAATATGGCAATAGTGTCGTTATCATACCTTAAAAATTAACAATAGTTTTTCAATATCATCAAATATCTAGTCGGTGTTCAAATTTTTCCAATCTCATAATGTCTTCATGCAGTGGATTTGTCTGACTCTGAGTCCAAACACAGCCCTGACATGCTGATATGTCTCTTCGCGTCTCTTTTAATCTGTAAGTCCCCCCCTGACTTATTTGTTACTGATACTGGGTTATTTGTCCTTAGCGTTTTGCGTATGCTGGACTTATCCAATTGCATCTCCACGGTGTCATTTGTCGTGATCCTTTATCTCCTGTATTTCCTGCAAACTCGGATTCAGATCTAGAGGGCTGATTAGATCCGTGCTCTATTTTTTTTTTTTTTCTTTTGGCAAGACTTCTGCGTTGGTGGTTTTGTGTACTTCCTATTGCATCACCTCGGGAGACATAGAGTGTCTGCCTGTCTCTCTTTTAAGATTAATCAGTGTGTTACAGTGTTGTAAGCTTCATATAACAATTATACTTTTTCTTTATGGCTTTTCACATCATGATTTTAACAGCCTAGATCCATTATTTCATCAGACTGCAAGATGATGACATTCTATCACTCCTTCATTTATTAGCTTCCCTTAAAAAAAGACTTTCTCTCATTAAATATTTGATTACTGAGCTGAGATACAGTTATATGGGAAATGTGTTTTGTTCTTTTTCTTTTTTCCAGTTTTCAGAATAACAACTTGGTTGTTCAGCATC